CACGAGAATGGGCTGAAAAAAAAGGCAGAGGGGAAATCTTTGAGCACAAATTTCAAGGCTTCCCAGAGGCTTCCTGGAGGCTTCTTGGAGGCTTCCCGGTCTTTCATATACTGTATGGCCACAGCAAAGGAAATGGTAATGCGTAATGATATAACTTGTGCCCGAGCCTGAAACCATGAATGTTACATTTGCACACTAACATTCGAAATTTTGCCGACATGAGTAATCTAAAATATTAGACAACCCGCAAGTGAAATATTTGTTTCTTATTTTTATTCTATTTTGGGGAGGTGGTCCGTAGAGAGGGTTCGTAGGGGTAGTCTGTGGACCGGTCCTTAGGTAGTCCGCGGACCCGGTCCGTAGCTAGTGCGGGTCTGCGGACCAGGGGTCAGTGTTTTCAGGTTACCCGATTTTTAATGGCCCAACGACATAAAATAAAATGGAGAAAATGTATTGATGAACAAATGTGTCAAAAAAAAATTCAGCCAGATTCAACTTTTTCCACAGATGTTGCTGTCCATGCAACCCAACAAAATTCACAACTATTGAGCTGCAATAAAAAATTGCAGTGATCAGTGTGATCATTGAGCACAGCTAGTCAGTTCAGAAGGCATAAATGAATAAAGATGTAAACAAAAATGCATTAAATATCCCCTAGCATTGCCCAAAATTGGCCAAAACAAATCACAGATATATATTCGATATCCCACGCTGCTTGGGAGCCCGGAACATTATTACCGTAGAATTCTGAAAGTACAGTAACAGTCCCCGTTACTTTTGGATTTAGCAGGCAAAAGGGGCCGCTACTTTTGGGTAGACGTTACTTACGGGTAGCCGTTACTTTCAGTGGTTAGAAAACTTTTGAACAGTACAGTCATCTCAGACAAAGCAGATGCGTAACAAAAGAAATAAAACTTCCATTTATGTGTGTTTCCAACTAAGCAACATAAACAAAACAGACTGTATAAACAACAAAAAAAAGGCGCTAACTGGTTGCTATTGTAGGGCGAAAGTATGATGGTTGCATTATATTGCAATGCAACTGATTACCCTACATTATATATCATTTGACTCTGCTGCTAGGCAAATACAGCATATAAATCATAGTTTCAAGAAAAATTCAGTCAAATTC